ATTTTTCGATCGAAGTCATAAAAATATTTTATGTTAAAATCGAATTCGTAATGATTATCTTTGTCGAGAGCGTAAACTCATTTATATTTTACGCGCCCTATATACATAAATTGATCGATTTGTTTGTATATATATGGTAACGTAGGACTCTAAAGGAATGTTCAAGGCATTTAGTGTGCACGTATATATTGATAAATCATATAAATAATATATTTAATTTATAACTTATTTATATCCATGCGCTTATATGGACGTGAATGTGAAACTGTGCATAAACTATAGATTTAAAATGCATAAAACTCACGTGATTGGTTTACGATTGTGTACGTAAAAGGCTGTACAAAAGCCGTAGGCAAACGACACATGCATATGCTACACAGTCGCACGGATTTCACAATAATCTTGATGAATCTTTGACAACGAGTGATTATTTATATTAGTTTTGACATCGGTAGTACTTTCTACTGCCATTTTTACACCATTCAGGGCTTGTAGCTAATTTTTTTTTTACATCCTACCAAACCTAACAAAACCAATTGTTATATCGTTTACACGAGTGTTCGAACATAAAACGTTATATCCGTGCCTTTTTTTAAATCGTCCGTTCCGAATACGAGTTTTTAATTTATCACTATATATTGTTTCCCGTCTACGTAAAATGTTTACCTACTGTAATTATTTCGATCGTAGTTGCTGTCTGTACACTTGTACGTACCGCGGCACAAAAAAAAAAAAAAAAAATAAAAAAAATATAAGACAATCGAAATGGATTTAAATACGCTGTATAAACGTTATGTGCTTTCCAGCGCAAGTAACTTTTGGAATTATTCCGTTCCTCGGCCATATACTGTCGAACAAAATCTGTTACTCGTTTGCACTGGTAACAATCGTTTCGATATTTTAATGGTCCAGGAAAAATTATAGTTGATGAAAATCTATTATTGCGACATAAACTTTTCGACTTCGAATTTCGGCCCGTTAATTATAATCAATCTCGTACGGAGACGCACAGCGGACCGCGAAATCATTGTTTTCGCTCGAACCCGTTGGTACGTACGTTATAGCAGTGCAATGACGTGCGTACGCACGGATATCGATATTATTGATTGTACGAGTCCAGGAGGGAAGTCGCACGTGTGTCATCGACCCGTTTCGAGTGACGTTTACAGATTATCACACGACGAATCGGCCGGCTTTCGACGCGTAATTATTCAGATGGCGTAACATGGGTGGGCGACGAACAATTATGGCGGTTAATTACGTATGTTCTAACACGGCGACGGCGTTACAACACGCATAAGCCTTTTATAGATACTGTTTTGTGTGCGTATTGCGAGTGAAAAAAAAAAAAAAAAAACATAATATATAAATAAATAATATGAGTAATTTACGAACCTTCGGACTATAGTGTGTGTGTGTGTGTGTGTGTGTGTGTGTGTGTGTGTGTGTGACGATTTCGTGAGCACTGTGTTCACGGGTCATTTATTACTCGGAATAATAAAAGTAAAAATAAAAAACGAGAACACAGCCGGTAACGTTGTATAACGTCACTCCGAAGACATCCATTTGGTTGATGACACGATGAAAGCGGATGGATCACGACGCAACGACGTAAGGAGGAGAAGAAGAAGATATACACGTACGGCGTGTCGAAATCTCGTCGAATTATCCGAGCGTTTATAATAACAGTCGATAAAGCAACAAAACAAGCAGTCCCGCAGACGGCTTTTAACACTACGTTGAATCATTTAACATTTTGTTCTTGTACGTGCGTGTATACAGTCGGTTTATCGATTTTCGGTTCACCGTTCTAATTAAAAACGATTGTTATTTACGTTTCGAAATCCGTATCAACTGGACGCTATTTATCGATACACCTGTAACGTGTACGTTATAATCACTTCGTCATCGAATTACTCGGAATCCGTTTGCGTTTTATTGTTTACAATTGGAAAATTATCGACACCGTTTACGCGGTGTTGTTCTGCGTACGAATCGCGTGCGGAACACGACCGCTCGGCAATGCGGATTTGTTTGGCAATTATTTTACGCGCAGCGTTCTCACAATATTATCATCTACGGGCTTTTTGCCGGCGAATCGCGCCATTCGGTCGTTGTAATCGTTCTTAACGCACTCCGAGGAGTGTCCTGGAACTGATGCGTTTGTTACCAATGTCATACTTCACACGTTTATTTAACGAACAAACGGTGTGCATTATTGTAACCGATTTAAATGTGATCACGATTTTCGATTGATTTTTTTTTTTTTTTTTCATTCAAAAGTAGCGTACGACCTCCATCATCGGTGCCCCGAAATGATTTGTAAGGAAGCGTTATCGCAACAAATGGGGTTTTCGAACGGAAAGCGCACAGGCGAACAAGTGGCGTACGAGTCCTGATCGGATCGTTTTGTTTAATCTGACGAGAGATTACATACGTTTATCGACCTCCGCGGGTGGACGATTTTTGCGTTGGATTCGCGCGCGTGCGCCGCCACAAATGTCCACGTCCTATCGACATGCACAGGCGCGCACCGCGTTGTGTATCTCTTTGGGTACCGCGGCCCGTGGTGAAGTGGACGAATCGGGATCCGCAGCGAATAACGTGCGCGATTGAAAATAGTTTTATTTCTTTCACATTTTTTCATTTTTTTTTTTTCTCGCGTCACTTTCGGGGACCACCCGAAAACCAACGAACGTGCACGTGTGAACACGGTTAACACCAAACCCGTGAAAGTATGCGCGCGCACAACATCCGAAAAACTTATCTGCTCTCGCGCGCAAAAACAATTTTGCTCGTTAATTGAAAACCCGCGGTGATTGTGTACACGGTACGTACGTGTGTTACACGTAGACTTTCTCCGGCGGTTCACACACAAGTGGCCGTGTGCACGGCGCTTTCCGATCGTGTTCGAAAATGAAATATTTAGATCAAGCGGTTGCGGTGCACATGTTATCCGCCCGCGCGCGCGGCAACTGCAGTACGCAATATTATAATTGACATCTGACGACGATTTTCGTTCGTCGTCGGCGCGCGTCTGAAGTTTACGCGCGTAAAACGATTTTCGGCGATATGTGTCCATCAGTCACCGATAGTTCACATTAGGTCGGGGTTGCAAACGAACGAAGACTGATCGAAGACCGATCGAAGACGGAGAGAAAGAGAGTGAGTGCGCGTGAGAGAGAGAGAGAGAGAGAGAGAGAGAGAGTGATATATCAGTCCGTTCTGGTTTTTTTTTTCTACCACCGCGGCGTTGCATAACGTTCCGACTTAAACGGTAATTAAACTGTCGTCCGGTCAACGACGAGTGTTTCGAAACACGTTTTTTCTATTACATCTATTCTATTTTTTTCAAATCGTTTTAACGACAACAACTACAAAACCGTCCGAGTTACAGAAGTAAAAATGTCAACCGGACGGGAAGATGTGCTAGTAGTACCTACCGAAAAGGATAACCGCGTATGTGTGTGTTGTCTAAATGTATCTACTCGTTTTTGTGACCTATCGTCAAATTGCTGTTATTCCCATATACGGTGGTGCAATGGGTTTTAAGTTCAAGTCGATACCGTTGCTTTGATCCAGGTCCCCACGTGATCTATTTCAAACGTGTTAGTTTTCAATGAGTTGGCACTCTTGACCGGTAACCTGAAAATAATCTAATAATATTTCAAGTAATTCATATTTAATCATATCAAAATATTATAAATCCAGAAATCGAGATATTATATTTGTAAATCAAACCATACTACGATAATCTTGTAAATATATAAACACCAGTAAACACGGTGCAGGAAGATCTAAACATTTCAATAATTGCAATACGCAGTTTTATTGCATATGTAATTATTTTTATCTTTGTTTCTCGTGACAATCGGCTGTGGGCAATTTGAGTGTTTAATTTATGGGTTTTTTTTCAAATTGCTCAGTGTTGATTCAAGTGTTACAAAATGAATTCATAAGATTCGATTTTCTCTCTGATTTAATCACAAGAAATACATGTATTCGTTAATCAAAACGAAAAATCTAGCTATAGGACAATGTATGCGCTCGGAATCATAACTAATAATACTAAATCATCTTAACCATATAGTATCCATAAATTAAAACTAAATCATTAAACATTTAATCATGTACACAACATGATCACAATAGAATTATTGTTCGCATATAATTATATGCTTTTTATACAAGCACGTTAAACAATTAAATAGTTAACATTAAGGGGATTGGTTTTGTCTATAATTTCTAGGTCATTCCATCCTTTTACATTCGTAACTCATAAATTATCCGTTGACCATAACAATTAAGGTACGATTTGGAATTTCAAACATTCTTAAATTAAAAGAAATCATTACTGACAATATAAATGCCTTACAAATTGCTCTATGTTGTTCTGGGTCACTGGAAAACAGTGCCAGTTTCCAGTGTCAATATCCTTCGCGGGCACGAGAAGATAACCCCGCCCGATCGGACGAACTGTTGTCTGCGGGTCGTTGTTCGTTTCACGGTCCTTTTCGTTGGCGAAGCGCTTTCTCGCCGATTAATCACCCACCCGAAGGTTATTTACATATCACGGCAACACTGTCTTTTATTCTTGTCGAATACAAAACACTCGTTAACCGCCGAGGACCGACCCGTAAATCAATCTTTATTAAACCGTCGTCGGTACGAATCGAATGCGGTTCCCTTGCATTCGTGGTAGAGCTGTTAACAATAATTAAAACAATGTCAACGATTAGTTTGAGCACGGGCGCTCGTCAGAAAATTAAAAATCATCTAAGAGAAATATACACTTACGACTAATTCTCGCGGAACGTGTAGGGTCATAATTTTAAAACGGTAACGGTATCAAACTGATTGGTATGTAACACATCCTTCCCTCGTCCTCCTTGCCCATCAAAACATACGCACGATTATACAACACGCACTTTGGCAGGGCGTGTAACATTCGAATGTGCAAATACGATTATTAAAAGTCCGCGTGATTGCGTTTGTTCCAGGTGACACAATGAGCGCGACGACAGCCGAATGCGAGCTACTGGGCCGCGGGCCCGTCCAGGGGTCCGCCGACTCGGACAGCCTGGCCGCGTTGGTCAGGCATTTGTGCAAGCAGCAACAACGCGGCCGGTTGCCGGGTCGCCGGTGCACAGTGACATGTAGCCGGGACGGCGGTCTGGAAATCGTGCCGTACCAGCGGAAGCGGCCGGACGACGAAGGATTCGAATCAGACGAAGACCTGGCATCGCTGGGCTCGTACGAGGACCCGACTAAGAGGAAAACGGGAACGCTGGCCGCCGCGTCGGTGGCGGCCGGCGCCGGGTCGGACAGCGCGAACAGCAGCGGCGTGTCCGAGGACAGCGACGACGCGGACGCGGCCTCGCTGAGGGAACAGGCGCCGGCGGCCGCGGAGACGTCGGACGGGAGCGGCCGTGAGGCGTACGGGCTGGCCGACGTGGCATTCTGTCACACGGACGCGGCCACGCTGCCCGGCATAGCCGTGTGGGTGATAAAGACGCGGAGAACTTCGGCCGCGGGCTTGGAGGCCATTGTGGTCCGGAGCCGGGACAACAGGCTGCAGGACGTGTGTAGAGCGTACCAGGAGCACAGCAAGCGACTGAAGTTGGAGCCAAAACCGTGGACGGGTCAGGTCAATAACAGCGGCGGGTCGTCGACGCGGCGCAAAGCGGTCAATCAGAGCGGTGGGGTCACCCTCACGGCTACGCCCGAGGTCAACCGATACAACCTGGTGCAGCGGACCGACACGGACGGCGTGACGCACATCGAAGTGACCGCGGGACCGGTGGTGGCGTCGGTGACGGAAAGAGCTACCGGCAGGGACGAGTCGCCGTCCAGCATCATAAGCATTAGCACACCCGAGTCGCCGAGACCGATGACCAAGGGCTTGCGAGTGGTGTATGGTGACACGGACGACGACGGCGGTGGAGAGTCGTCACCTCCGCAGAGACCGGAACGGAGGAAGTACAAGCAGCCGAAACCGGAAACCGGTAGTAGCGGTAGCGGTGGCGTTGCTGCCGAAGACTTCAGGCGGCAGCAGAAAGTGGTAAGAGGACAGTTCATCCGGGTGAACGTGAACCATTGCGCAGTTGTGCCACCGGTAAGTCCGGAGCCGGAACGGAAGCGCACGCAGCACCAGGAAAAGTCAGGGAAACCGGCCGCATCCCTGGCCACTTCCAACGCTTCCGGTTCCGACCGACTGTGGTCGACGGCCGACTACGACAGGCTGGACGGGCGGTACGAGCAGCACCGGAGTTCTTCGCGGTCCAGCAGTCGGACCCGGAGCAGGAGCACGGGACCGGGTCGTCGGCAACAGCAGCTGACGGCCGCGGCACCGCAGCACCCTCCACCGGTGGCGTTTACCCGGTATCAGAACGTCGACCAACAGCAGCAGCCGCTGTCCACGTTCGGCACGCGGTTCTTTGGCAAACTGCGCGAGATCACTTCGGGCAACCAGTCGCCGCCGCTCCAGGACTTGCAGCCGGTGACGTTCCGGCGTCGTAACAGCGTCGGTGAGTCCGTCACCGCAAACTTTTATCAGTACTTCGGCCATCAGCACCACCACAACCACCACCAGCAGCACCACCATCACAACCAATACCAGCAGCAGCATTATATGCACATGCAGCAGCAGCAGCAGCAGCAGCAGAGGCAACAGGCGAAAAACGGCGGCAACCTCAAGTCGGTGATCAAAAAGAACAACAAGAGCCAACCCTATCAAAACGCATACGACGAGCCGAAAAAGGTCACGTTCAGCGCTTACGCCACCGTTCAGGTGGTCGACTAGCGCCGAGGGTGTGGTCCCTTTTCGCTCCTGCGCCCCTCAATTCTTCGTACCATACAATGATGTCGCTCAACGTTTTCGCGTCCGTCGTCGTCATCGTGTTACCAAATAGGTTTAAACTGGTCGCGTGAACCGCCTGCCGGGCAACAGGGCGTAGTGTTATCGACTGCTGCGGGACGAGGAAACAATCAAGCTTCCGGTACTTAGCCCTCTCGTTTTTACCCCGTTCCGTGTCTCCGAACACGTGCTTCTCGTGAACCCAACAATGCTTTTATCTGATTTCCGTTATGATTTCACGTCGCATTTTTTTTTCGTTTTCGGGAGGTCGAGTTCGTGTCTTCGTCGCTGAAGGCATTTGTAAACTACGGGACCGACACGACGCGTCGCACAGTCCGATTATTGAACACGCTTACTTGATTTCCTTTCGTTTGGAACATCGTTTCATCGTTTTATCTTCGACTGGAAGATAGTAAACGCACCGAAACGACAGGTTAAATAAAAATTAAATAAGGTCCAATAAAAATTCAAACTGCCTCGACACAACAGTGCGTACGTCTGGTAAATTGTATTATATAGGTTACTGTTGTTACGTCAGTGTTGTGTTCTAGTTTCGGCAGTGTGATCGATCAATTACTATTATTTATCGACAAGCCGTCCACGAGCACTACGCCCTCTTACCCGTTAGGCATTCGTTCACGTTATATTCTAGTGAAGCTTTTCAGATTGTTGCTCATTAAACGAAAATTATTTACCTTTTTTTTCTCTTTTTTTTTTCCTAGTTATATTGTTATTTACGCGTATTGAATTGTACATTAAGTTAACTTATATAAACAACATAATCATTGTAGACCATAAGTAACTTAATTTCCTTATCATATCTATCGATCACGTTATTATAACTTTTTTTTCTTTTTTTTTTTTTTATATATTATTTAGGGGACGACACCGCTGCTGTATTTGCACGTGTTTTTCGGGACCGATATTGTTTTTATTTTATTTATAAAACTTAACGGGCATGCTGTTGTGCCGTGTAAATACTAAAATATATATAAATAAATATACAACCATTATACCAGTCATTGTGAGATTTTTATTACATTTTTCGGTGCGAGTATCCGAACCGACACTAGATTTTTCCTTTTTTTTCCCCCTTTTTTTTTTTTTCGTACAATGTCATGCGAACCACGTCCGCCAGTAAAAAATGTCGATCTGTTAACAACCGGATTATTACATCAACCGACTACGAAGGTCTGTACATGTTTGCATATGAGCTAGTCTTTAGTGAAGATCGTAAAAAATAAATGCAGATCTCTTGACGAGATTGTCTGAAAACGTACGATGTAACGTATTATACGTGCAGGAAGTCGCCCAATGAAAAAATGTACATTCATAAAATATCACTCACCGTTGCTAGGCTACGAATTTAGAAAAAACTAAAAAAAAAAAAAAATTACATAAAATATGTAATAATATCGTAAAGAAAGGTTGACGGCATTTTAATGAACATTGAACGTTACATCAACGGTAATTAGGCAATTGGACAGATCTAAATAAAATCAATTTCATTTTAATCTCCTGTCTTGGAATTTTACATTAGTAATATTATATAAAGAATCGTACGGTTCATAAAACACTAAAATAGTTGAGCCAACACTAAAATAAATTTAAACGCATTACAAAAAAAATAAATAAAATAAAAAACAATTAAAGAATAATAATAATAATAATAGTAATAACAATGGAATATTAATATAATATGCACGTTAGTCCGGTTAATCTGGTTAATGTTTTATGACGAAACAATAAATCCAGTTTCAAAAGTAAGGCTTTACTTGCAGTATTCAATGTATACGTAATATGATATAATCGAAAAGAAAAAGTGCGTATTGTTGTTTTTTCTGGGTTAAAAAAAGACTACTTCGTTACATCTAATCGAATAAATAAGCTACACGTATACGTTTAGAAACCGGTAGATATGAACGTTATTGATTTTTAGTGGCAAAAGTAAAAAAAAAAAAAAAAAAATAATCGATTCGATCAGATAAGTGCGGTACACAAACGTAAGTCGAAACGAGTGCTGATCAGGTACAACATTACGAAATTCTAAAATAAATGGTGCGCGTTCGGTTTGACAGTATAGGCGTATCACATGCGCTCGGGTATAGAGATAAACGTTATATAAAACGGTCATCATTATCACTTCCTCTTCACAGCTCTTTCCGGCGTTCGGAATTCCGATGGGCGACAACGTCCACGAACACGAGGTCCCTACACCATCGCACACAGCCGTACGGTAAGAGTTTAGAGACACCGCGGTAAGACTAGAGGAACGCATAACGATTGCCGTATGAAAACACACGTTTAAACCCGTATACCCGCTACGCAACGAAAATACCTGATGAGACGTACACGGGTACATGCGAATCCGAATATCGATTCTGCGTACCGACCGGCGAACACCATACAGTTGGTGGCCGGTTAATGGATTAGCGTTGAGTTATTATTTTCTGACAACGATTCGTCGTCACGGTCGTTTCCGTCGGGCGCTTGGATTTGTACGGAGTGCGTGCGTGCATGCGTGCGAGCGCGCGTGTGTAAAACAACGAAAGCTATAATTTCACCGGAGAAAGGTGTACGGAAACCCGGAGAGTTTGGTAACAATTGGGGCATCTTCAAGACGCGCTAATAAATAAAGAATAATAATAATAATAATGATAATAATAATAATAATAATAATGATAATAACGGAAATATAGAAATAATATATAATAATGCGTCGGTGAATGGGTCTTCTAGACGATGATATTCACGTTTTATAGGTTATAACGTTACACGTACAAATGTATGTGCAGTATACACAACGCATACAATGGTATACAATACGATAGTAACAAGTGTCGAACAATTGCCTTAATACGTTGCGGAAGTTCTGTGCGCACGCGCGTGTGTGTGTGCCTATGGATACCGAATGGCTTACGGAGTCGAAATCGCGTCCGTAAAGTATCTCTGTACGCGCAACACGAACACAATAATATTATAAACGCCACGTCATGCGAGGCGAAAAATAAGTCGCTGGAGACTTTGACGCCAGCGCACATGGTTACGTACATACTGAATCTCCTTAGACTCGACGCTTCGCCGCCGCCCGTCTGCACCGTTCATAACTCGCGTGATTCGACTTCCCGAGTGTCCGAAGTATCCGACGCGCAAAGATATATCTACATAATTTTATTGTTATTAAAGTACGTATTGTACGTAGAAACAAGTATACATGTGTATATTCAGATAGGAAACTATCGATTTTACCGAATCGTAAACGTTTTTATTATTTTTATCGTTACCGCTTTATTCTCGTACGGCGAAGAAGGTATATTTCACCGTATATACGTGACTCGTTTTGTTGATTTTTATCCACCTACCGATAACAGCCGATACGGGCATGTATGGGCGTGAAAATAAAGCGCTGCTATGACATTGTACGACTGCAAAAGCGACCACTGAGTGAAAAAAAAAAATCTTCCGGGATAAATAATAAAAATTCAAGGTAACAATTTGATAACGTAAAAATGTAACATTACGTAATTATCTTTATTTTATTATTTTTTTTTTTTCGTATTCGTCTGCGACTCCAATCATAAAAGACGGTGTCTTTTATTCAGGACGTCTCCGCAATCCACGACTTCCTGGTCTTAACAACGATAATCTACATGTAAATAATATTCTAGTAACGTCGCTAGCTTTACGGACACTGTAAAACGATCACGTGTACCGTATATATTATACAAATAATACAGCCCGGACTCGTTTCGCTAAAAGATTTTGTTAATATCCGTGTTAATTTATGGCGATCGGACTTCACACATAAAAAACGAAATATTATTCAACGCACTTTAAGCACCTAATATTATACACTGGCCGTACTATTCGCTGCAGCTTATGAAATATTTATATTGTAAATATGTATTTTATGTGTACATGAACGAGAATAAATTATAATACGTGGAATCGTTCGATCGATTTTATGCAGAGAGAGAGAGAGACAGAGAATAGAATGCCTGGGCTCTGCAGTTTTCGAAATTGTCAAATGTTTTTGTTATTGCATCCGCACGAACTATACTCATCAACATATACACTAGTCCGATTGAATACACTATTCGATTCGTTAATTAAACGTATGTGTGTGTGTGTTTGATTCAAAGTAATATTTTTAAAATCGAATCGACTGGAATGATCCGTCGGAAACAATACATTTTGTATTGATATCTTGTGGCCATATACATATGTGTAGTGGCTTCATCATGTCGAATGTGCGCGTACGTACAAATGAAAAGTAAAAGTGCGATCATATATTATGTTATAAATATACATGTCTACACAGAGTGATTCGTTGATTATGCTTAATCTGTTTTTTTATTGTTAAATTATGCACTTTTTGAATTCTGATTTTAGGAAATCGTACTAAAAACCCATATATTCCAATACATACATTTTTTATGTCTCTTCGGGAGTAATATTATCAAATTGTGTTTTTTTAAATGCGAACACTATTAGATTTCATTCATAAACGTATGTCGATTAAATTTTTCGATGTTACATCATGCGGTCAACATTTGAGCCAGTACTTTTGGAATTATTCAGATAAAAAATAATATACGAAAAATGTAGTACAATATTTTAACATATCGTTGATAATTTTTTTGCGAGGAATGAGAACATGCGAAAAACCGTCATGTGACCAGTGTTTATCGATACATTGTTTTTTCACGTATAATCAATAAACATTCGTACCAAGTTCAGCGTTTTAATATACCCAATACTAATAAATTTGCCTATAAACGATGACTAAGGAAAAATATCGCTGCGGTTACTTAAAACATAAGTATAGCTATTTAAAATTGGTTTTCGATCTACTTAATGTTTTTTTTCTCCCGTTTCCTCCACCTTGTTCTGACAACATAGTCACTTGCGATGGGTCGGGTTACCGACCGTCCGTGTACATATACGTGTATCAATTGCGTTACGAACCGAAAATAAATGGATCCCTCGGGGTGTACTTCGATGTACATTTGAACATTTGCACATCCCTTTTGCTGTACGCGCGTATACAATCCGTATTGTTGCGCATATTGTGTGGGCGGAATAACAGTAAATTGTCATCGATTGGCGGCGGAACACGACCGGTACAAGCACTGTGTTTGGCGATGGCGCTTGGTTTGTGTGCACCACGAGCAGTGCGAGACCGTTTGAAATCAACGGCCAGGAGCTTTTATTCGATCCTCGAAAGGATAAACGTTTTCGGTGTACACTTGCATCACGGGCGACGTGTATGGTAATCGTGCGCCAATGATCGTTGTGTTATTATTACGAGGCCGCACCGCTGGTGAACGCAAACACATCGTCGTCGCCTCCGCCGCCCGCTTTATTATTTTCTAATTGCACCGGTCCGTTTTGATTCGTGTTCACGTGTAGGCACCACATACGTATTGCAACATCGGTAATTAGAGAGAGATGAAAAAAACCCACGAAACAATGACGTTCGTAAACACACAGGGACGACGTGTAGACGACTGCGGTTCGGTAATATGCTCGCGTACAGAAACAACCTGTGGTTGCGTAATAAGAACGTGATGTCAAAAATTGGATGCAAAAATTACCAATCATGTGCAGCCCTGCACCCCAATGCTATAAAAACACACTACTGAACCTTATAACCATAAAGTATAGATAAATACGTGCATAAGAAGTTTATATGGATGTGTATTGGTCAAAACCATGAATTTTAAACTTTTATCAACAAAACAGTTTCAAACATTACATTTAACCATCATGAGCTTTGATGCACGATATAAAATAAAGAATTCTAACACTTTGACCGTGTCGTTTCATAAAGGAACAACCGCAAATATTGAAATTTCAGTTTGGGTTGCAAATTATCATTTAACGAGCCTATAGTATTATCAATTAATTTATGTTTTCGTTTCAATGACGCCAATGCGAACACTGATGGAATGTAATAATATACATAGTGTACAAATGGCGCAATTTCATGCAGTAATCATAAGTATGTCGTTTTGTTTAA